ATATAAAATCAAAAACAAGATAACGCTTGGTTACAAATTCAACAGAAGAAGAAAGAAACATGATTGTGCAAGCCAAGAACACTCTGCTGTTTAACAATCAAACGGCCTGGCTAAAACAAAACACCGAGACAAATTTTGACGTGACGATGGGTAGTTACGACGGAGCAGAGACATGTGAGCTAATCGGCCTTTTCATGCTCGCTAAATTAGAACCAAAATATGGAAATAAGATATAGGCTTCCACACAGACAATGGGCTACGGCATTTGTCATTTTCTGTACCGTACCTAATGTATATATAAACAGATAATCAATTAGGTATTTTATTCAATTTGTATATACAGTAGCTAACTCATTTATTGAATTGTATATACCCATTAATTTATTGATTTGCCTAATTTGTACAGTACATTCAAACTGTAATTCATCCTGTGCTATTAAATTTTATACGTGAATGAATAAAAGATACCTACCAATCAATATTGTAATGTGTCCTCTACTTGTATTTTTAAACTTTAAATTTTACTTAAACTTCAAAAAATAAAAAGTTAAGTTAATTACTTGAAACACAAACAACGCGATAGGATGCGTTTGCAAGAATAATTGGTATACTTGTATTATATTTTCTTTGGGGTTGCTACAATCAGGAGTTGTTACAATCAGTTGAGTCAAGCTCGGGCGCTGACAGGGGGCGTGGGGGGTAGCGGAGTGTCAGTGCCCCAGGCACGAGGGGCCCCGACACTAGAGTTTTAAAAAAAATATAATAATATGGGCCCCGACGGTTTTAAACAATAAAAGCTGGTTCTGGTGTTTGAGATCATGCTTCTGAGTGATCAATCAGCTTTGCATTGTATATAGGCATTAAAACATGTTTAGTTCTCACTAAAATTGGCCTATTTTACATCTACAGCACATAAGCCTACTGTAGGCTTATACCAGTCCGAAAGTCATGTACCATTCTATGTTCTCTAACAACGCGTTAACAGTTAGTTTTTCAATCTCCAGCCAATTTAAAATAGCATTTCAAATACTCATTTTTGGAATGTAAGGAAATAGATAGTGCTTTTCCTTTGTTGGATCGATTGCAACTCCTGATTGTAGCAACCCAAAAACGAATGGCACTTCAGAAATACAGTACAGTATACCAATTATTCTCTTAAACTTTATATCCTATTGCGTTGTTTGTATTTTAAGTTAACTTTAATTTTTTTATTTATTTTTTTAAGCGTGCAGGTTTGAAATATTTTAAACTCTGTAAGTTAAATTTTTTTTTTTTAAGTTTTTTTTTTTAATTTTCAAAGAAAAATAAATGCGATCGTTAATATCGATCTTGGTACAATGTAAACCTGTAATACTTTACAGAATTTTATTATAATATAGGCCTAGACTAGGACCGTGGCCTCCTACTATAGTATAGAGGCCTAGTCCAAGACCTTGTTGCAAATCCCAGCCCACATAGCCTAGACTATAATGCCTAGCATAATTCTCGTGATCGCGGTACCCTGACCATTAAAAATTAGCAGACGCACTTTGAAGCGTTGTTCACGGCATTGGACTGCCAATGCCGTGAACGAGGGGCCAGATTTCCCCAACGAAAGCAAAGTGGACGTGGTCGAGCTTCAATTAATAGGTTCCAAAAGTGGTCCTGGGGGTGAAGCAACCGAACATTTTGACAATTCAGGGGTTTCAAAGGCTTATTAAATCGATATTAGAGTCTACTAATATGTAAAAAATAGCACTATTACTAATGTTACTAATTACTACTAATAGTACTATTTTACTACATGGCTAAAAAAAAGCACAAATACTGTCATTACTACTGAGAGGGCCATCGTTAAATTAAGTCAGAGCCCAAAATATAGCATAATTCGAAATTATTATTTTAAGACTTTATAACATAATACATAGCCTACTGA